AACACGGATAGTGTGACATAACAGGGAGGGTAAGGTCTGTAAGTGTCAGTGGTCCTACCTGGCTCCTGCGGCCATGGCCCACAACCACAGGGAGTGGCTGGAGCTTTTTCAAGTGTCCTGAGGCCCTGCTGTGAGGACGTTGTAGGCGGTGAGGCCCGTCTTCGTGGAGAGCCATGAGGACACACCACGCTTCCCTCTTCCTTGGCCTCGGGCTGTTGGCCCGGCTGTAACAATGGCCTCAGTGTCCGGCCTGCTTTCTTGGCTGACGTTTCCCTGGATTCTGATGGGTTGGCACAAGGCTGCTGTTGGTCAATCCGGCCTCGCGAAGAGTGGCATGCTCCCGGGGCCAGTCCTGGAAAGGGCTCTGCCACTCCTAGGGCCCGAGGCCCAGAGCAAGTCACTCAGCCAGCCTCAGGCTCCCATCCCGACACATCCATCCAGGTGAAATGGGATTAAAATAACCGCAGGGGAGCTTCGAACAGGCCAACATACTACAAAGGAGTGAGAAGAAAGGATAGAAGAGAGAGGGGAAGCTGTCTGGCCTGCTTCGAGGTTACAGTGTGTGTGTGTGTGTCCTGTATGACCCTGCTTTTACTGCTGTGACAAATCACCATAAACTCAGTGGTTTAAAACAAGACATATGTATTATCTTTATATTTGAAATCCAACACGGGTCTCAGTGGGTCAGAATCAGGCATCAGCAGGGCTGGTTCCAGGGGAGAGTGTCTCTCAGCTCCCAGAGGCCCCTGCATTCCTGGGCGTGGGCTCCTCATCCCACCTTCAGAGCCAGCCGTGCTCAGGTCCGCTTCCTTTCACACGGCACCTCCCTGGTCCTGCCGTAGCCCGTCTCCCGCCGACCACCGCTGGGGAAGGTTCTCTGATGGAAGGCCCTGTGATTGGTTGGGCTCACCTGGACAACCAGGATAAGGCCGCATCTCCAGGTTCCTAGCCACAGTGACAAAGCCGCTGTTGCTTGGTGAGGCCACACACCTACTGGTTCCAGGGACCGGGTGTGGAGATGTTAGGGGGCCATTATTCTGTTTTCCCTTGTTTTTACTTTTTACTTTGTTGGTGGTGGTTTTGTTTGTTTAATATGGGCTGGCAAGCCACCCCTCACCCCACATACCCAAGACTGCTCTCTTGACTCCTGAGCACTGGACCGGAATCTAGCCCAGGTGTCTTTGGACAAGTCACTCACCCTTTCTGAGCTGATGAGAAATGGGGCAGATGTTGCCCAAGATTCCCTTCCCACTCTCACTTCCTGGAATCCCTGCTCCTTGTCCCAGTAATGGCGGGCTCCTCGAATTCCTGGCAATGATCTCCAACTCACCTTGTCAGAGTTAAGTTTAATCTTGGGATCTTAATGTCCTTCTTCCCCCACCCCAACCCTGTGCTATTAACACGCATAGTTGTATTTCTCTTCTATCTTCTCCATGTAGAACTATTGAATCTTTATACAATACATTCTCCATAAAAAAATAAAAATTTAAGTTCATAAAAGCCTTGGCCAATTAAACATTCATAGTTCCTTTGGATGAAAATGAATATAATACTCGCCCTCACCTAACACTGGCTCGGTCAGCCACTGAACAAATGTTTAATGTGTTCCTATGTAGCAGGCCTCCTATTAAAGACGAATGTTCTAAAGGTGGACAAGACTCTGGGTCACTCTAACTCTCCATTCAAGACCCAACTCCAATATGTGCTGTCCCAGCCCAGTCTCCAGGGAAGAGTGAGGGCTCCCTCCGTGCAGCCTTCCGCAGCCTCCGGCCTGTGGTCCCCACAGTGTGATGTGGGGCAGGGCTAAACGCTTTTCCCTTCCCATCCTCATTCAGCTCCTTCAGCCCCAACACGTCACAGAGGCCGGGGGAGAAGCCTCACAGAATACCTTAGGGCATTTACCGCTTATCATGAATTCATGTGGAATGCTCAGTGCTATTTTAGCACAGCAGCCCCAGAATATTAGTTACCAAGAAGCCAGTGCAGAGATGTTAGTGAGCAGACAGGGCTTTCTCCTCTCACCAGGGATGCAAATGGAAATTAATCTTTGGGTGTTGAGCTGGCTGCAGCCTCCCCAACATCTCCACCTGGTGCTGACAGCCATAACTGGGCAGAGGGGGAAAGGACAGGGATGCAAAATCCTCCCAGAGGCCAGGGGAGGTCGGAGAATGATTTCCCCAGGGAGGTGCCAGACCCCGGGGGAGGGAGCCCTGAGCCCGGAGTGGTGGGCGAGAAGGCTGTGGGGAGAGAGGGGATCCGGTGCCCACCCTAGGGTGCCCTCTGCAGCCCCCCGAGAAATCCCCCCGGGCGGCCTTGGGGGATAAGGCCTTGCCCAGAGGAAGAAGGGCTCAAACTGTGTGTGCTGCCTTTGGGAGAAAGCCATAAGGAAGTGTCAGGAAAACTGATAGATGAGGTACTGCAGAGGTTCCCAAACGTTTGGCTGACAGTTGGTGTTCTTAATGTCTCAGTGATTTTTCACGGCACCACGCCGCCAAAAGAAATAGCAGCTAATTCCTGTTATCCAGTTAGATCCAGATGACCTACTGGGAGTAGCTGTGTGGTGTCCAACAGCTGTCCCTGTGTTTCCCTCACTCATTTAGACTAGGCCACAGCCCCCTAGCAGTTCGTTTTGGAGACCTGAGGTTCCTCGGCACACAGTTTGGGAACTGCCTTCCTAATTTTAATGCAATGGAAGCCTTCAATTTGAGGATTTGGGTGGTAGGAAGCCTCAATCCCAGGCAAGACAAAGACCCGGCTGAAGACCTGAAAGAATGGTTGTCTTGGTTTTCCCCACTTCCAGAGAGTAATCAGACTCACCGGAGGAACACAGAGGGTGGAACTACCACAGGGATTAACATTGAAATGGTTGGTTCTCTCTCTCCCCCCTGCACCAGCCTGGGTTCCTGAAGGGCAGGGACATCCTCTCCGTCTCTTACTCTGTCTCCAGTGCAAGGTGGGGACTCAGTACATTTTTTGCTGAATGAATGAATGGCTGCATAGTTATGTCCATTTTTTTAGAAGATAAGAGCTGATCAACCTCCCACACCTGCTCTAGGCTCCTTCCTAACAGGCCCCGCCCACAGGCAGGAGGCCCCTGGACCTGTGCTAAGTTTCTCCTAAAGCTTCACGGGAAAAGCAATTTGGCCGCAAACCAAGACCAGAGTGGGGTTGAATTGTTTCGTATCTTTCCACCCGATAATGGTGTGTGTTTTTTATGACTTGTCACCCTTGTCCCCAGAAACTTTTAGTTCCAACAAGCAATTTAAAAACAGATTTCTTTATGCAATGGCTCTCCTTGGAGGTGTCCCTCAGAATCCCCTCGGGAGCTTTCTAAAATTCAAATTCCTGGCCTCCTGCTCCCAAATTCTGATGCATAGGTCCATGGAGGAGTTTTTGCAGAGAGCTATTGTATTTTATTTTTTCATTGTTTCCAGGTGACTGGCCCACACCCGCAGCTCGCAATAACCTCACCAGCTGTCAGATGGCCACTGACCTCGCCTGAGCCCCGCGGTGGAAACAGGCCTGGTCTCAAAAAGGAGCCTGGTGGCCAGGAAAGAAACCTGAGAAATAGGTTCCCCAGCACCTCCCCGGGCGGGGCCTCCTGGCTTCCTTTTCCTTCTGCTGGTTCTCTGCACCCAAGGACACCTTTCGCCTCATTTCCTGACTTTACAGCCTCGCCTGCGGTGCTGCCTGAGCGGGGGACAGGCAGGGAATGGGCTGCTCTTCGCCCCTCCGCAGGTAAGTGGGGTGCCTGCTTCCAGGCCTCCAGTGGAAGGGGGGTGCCTCCCAGTATAGAGGGGCTGCCAGCAATTTGGAGCAGGCATTTCTGTCTCCAGCTAGGAATTGCCAGTGATCTACAAGAGATTGGCATATTCCTGATCAATTCCCGATCTCCAAGAATGTTCAGGAAGGAACCTCATGTGAACAGGCGTGTTAGTGATTTGCTTACCTGGTAGATGAGGTCAACTTTGAGCTGCGTTTTCTTTTCTGAGGAGAGAGTCTTAGAAAATCCCCAGGGAGAGGTTGGGGGCAGAGCCCCTCTTATTCATCCGTCGCCCCCTCACCCTAACCTGCTACACTGGCTGCGTGCAAGGTGCATGTTCCTGGAAGAAGACAGACTCTTTAGGGGTTGGGAAGTTGCAAGTTTTCTGGACACAGTCAGCTCTGTAGATGCTGAAAACCAAAACTTCACTCGGACCTTAAAAAGGGCTGCAGGCCCTAGCTGGTTTGGCTCAGTGGATAGAGCATCAGCCTGTGGACTGAAGAGTCCAAGGTTCACTTCCAGTCAAGGGCACATGCTCGGGTTGCGGGCTCAACCCCCAGTAGGAGGCATGTAAGAGGCAGCCAATCAGTGATTCTCATAATTGATGTTTCAATCTCTCTCTCCCTCTCCCCTTTTAAAATATTTTTTTAAAAGGGGGCGGTATGTGGGAGACTGACCTATACAAATTATAACCAAGAGAACTTAAGCAGTGAGCTGCTAACACATAGATGGAGATGATAACTGCGTTTGGACTGGAGGCGATCTTTTCTACTGTGTTTAGGAAACCCGGACGTAGGTGCTTGAAGCTTGACTGAGCTCTCGCTTTTGTCCCCATCTCCTTCTCTGAAACTTTACCCTGCAAAGATTCTCTCAATCCAGACCAGACGTGAAGTATGAGTTTTATTTGATCTGCTTTTGAAAATGTAAAAGCCAACAGACCAATTTCACGCCCACGCCTCGCACATACGTGTATGCGAATTGGATTTTAAGTCTCCTATTGAAAAATCAGATCTGGCCACAATGCACTGCTGCTTCCTGGTGGCCTGTGTCCGGGACTCCAATGAGGTGCACTGTGCTCTGGACATAGGTTACCGAGCACAGGAAAAATCCGATCAATCTCTTCTTCATTCCTATCCGTCTATTTTATCAAGACAAAGACAAATGGTTCTCATATGTTTCCGTAAAATTTTTCAGAGAAATTCACCATTGAAATATTAGGGCTCCCTTTCACTGTTTCTCAAAGGTCTGCCTGCTGGGGCTTTATCCAAACGAGTGCGTTTTGGCAAATGTTTATTCACATAAATATCTCTCTTCAGCCTCCTGACCCGGTTCCAGCTCTCCCCCCAGCAGCAGGGGCCGCACCGCCTGCAGGACCGGGGAGGGAGGGCAGGTGGAGAGCACAGGGCAATGAGAAGCCCTGCCAGGCCCAAGGCCCAGGGTCCCAGGGACTGAGTCCTGGCAGAGACAGGGGACAGGAGCACACAGAGGTGTTTGAAAAGGAGCAGTGGTGCCCGGCCAGCATGGCTCAGTGGTTGAGTGTCGACCTATGAACTAAGAGGTCACGGTTCCATTCCTGGTCGTGTTGTGGGCTCGATCCCCAGTGTGGGGTGTGCAGGAGGTAGCAGGCCAATGATTCTCTGTCGTCATTGATGTTTCTATTTCTCTCTACCTCTCTTAAATCAATAAAAAAAAATTTAAAAATTTTTAATTAAATTTATTTATTTTTTAAAGCAAAGGAACAGTGGTGGTGAAAGAAAGAAAGGGAGCCGAGGAGAAGTGACAGTAGCTTTCGGGGCTAATCGCAGGGCTTTCCCTAAGGCCGTGTGGGCCGAGGAAAATCACACTGTCTGAGAAGCCCTCACCTCTGCCCTTTCAAACTCAGTGGTGGGTTAAAATATGGAGGGGAGGCCCGAGACCAGCTGTGGAACTGAGAGGGGCAGCCTCACTGCTTCCCGTGGCCAACGTCAGGGTCTGCGTCGCAGGT